TGTGTGTGTGTGTGTGTGTGTGTGTGTGTGTGTGTGTGTGTGTGTGTAGAGAAACAGTGAACATGTGAGCCAGAATGGGAGTGGACTGACTCAAAAGGAATCACATCTGTCACTATATTTTGTAATTTCATTGGTCACTTTAAGAGCAATAGATTAGAAATTGTTGCAATATGTAACCACAACCAATTTTAGGACACCTATATATTACTAATTGACATACAATATAAATAAATTACCCTTCAGAGTGTTGTAATTTTGCACACACTTTAGTCCCAAAGTATGAATGATTCCATCTAATATCCAGACGCTCAGTCCAAACCTTTCTGGTTTCTTAAGGGGGAAAGAATCCCATAAAAAAAATGTCTTCAAAGAACTGTCTTCTTTTTGAAAATGTTCATATTATACTGAGCTGCTCGACAAAAATATGAGGATTTTATTTCTGAGAGATGTTCCCACTGAAAGGAGAAGAGAGACTGGAATTAAAAGGATAGCCTGGAGGAGGACAGACCAACACTGTGGGCAGTGAAGCAAAGGCCTGTGGACTTCTGGACTTCTGATCTCTCTAGTCTCTGAGCTCTCAACTCCCTTTCCTGTGCTAACCCCAAAGAGTAGGGTATTATTAGTTTTTAAGTCTTGGGTCATCCTGAGCACATCCTCCAGGTTTAGAAGTATTTAGAATATAAATCACTTGTAATGAGAAGTAAGGGTCCTCCTTGATTAATCCCTAGAAATTAGCAAATTGGTAAGTGCAGTAAGAAAGTAATTAAGAGTTTTGCCTTTTTATCCTAGCCTTCTCATTCCCTGAGTAACTTTGGGCCAGTTATTCCTGGCCTCAGTTTCTTCTAAAAATTTAGGGGTATTATGGTATCTCCATAATTAATACTATGGCTAATAAACTGAGGAATAACCTGTATGCATTTCAGCTCTTCAGACAAGAATGACATACAATTGTTTCCTGGGAACAATGATGCCATAACACATTCAAGGGAGGAAAGGTAGAGGACTAGATGAAATAAGCCTCTGGTGCTTTGGGCTAAGATCCTGCAATATTGACAAATTTATCCCCCTTGTTACAAAAAGTATTCGAGGTGACCTACAAAGATACATGACAAGCAGAATAAAATAAACTGATGAGGTAAAGTTGGAGTAAAAGAAAAACAAGTTTAGTCTAATACAAGCACATCACATAGAAACAGAAAATTTGGACAATTTGTTTTTGACTATTCTGATAGGTGAATTGAAGAGAAAAATATGGTCATTTCTAAAATTCACTGTCTTTTAAGTCCTATGTTGCTGGTAGTTGGAGGGTAGATAGAAATGGGGTGATTTGCTCAGAACAGTTGTTCCTAGAACTGAAGTAAGAGAGATGTTTTTCATGGTTCCTTATAAAGGAAGAATATGTGATGTACTATAGTGATTTTCAGCTGGGATATGCAACAGAAGAGGACCTTTATTAACATATGCAATTATATGTTAACATATAGAATCATATCCCTGGGACTCAGTCTCAGATTTATGATTATCTTCGCATCTATGCATTTGACAAGAGCTTCAAGTGCTTTTGATCTAGTCAGGTCTACAAACATGCTTTAAAGACCCACCCCTGCAATGAGGATAATGGTGAGTTTCAAGTGCTGTTTTCTCAATACATTCTTCAATAGAGGCAGGTGGCATAATGACAAAGCACAATTAAATAAAAGTAATTTTATGAGGACCAACAAATATAGTCTGGGTACATAGCTCTCTCCAAAATCTATGTCTGATATACAATGTTAAAATTTTAAACATCAAGAGGGATTAAAAATAGGTAACTCCCTATTGTGTTTCCCTTTAAAGTGAATGGAAGCTGGTCCCAAACAACCTCACTGTCTGTTAGAAATGCATAATGGAGAAAGCCCAGAAGCATGTGCAAAATTGTCTCTTCCTTTTATTCAAAATGATTATTCCAATTCCTACATAATTCACAGGAAGACTGAGATTCAGGATTGGCTTCTTGACTTTCATTTGTCTATAGTTCCTTAGAAACTTGAAGCTTAATTTTTAAACTATGAAGGTACCCCTATGTGAATTTTCCTCTGAGGTTGGAGGTTGGAGGATGGCCAGGAAACTCCTCCCCTTTCAATCTTCTCTGCCTCCTCTCCTCCTTCCACCCCTCCATCATTTTAACTCTTGGTTTGCCTCACCCTATTTTTTTAAAAAAACAACTTTACTGAGATACATTTACAAACCAGCAAGTTCAAAGAACATACTTCTATAGTTTTTAGTATATTCACAGACCAGTATGACCATAACCACAATCAACTTAAGACACTCCAAAGAAAAACCCTTACTCCTCAGTTGTCATTACCTGTGGCCCTTCCTCCCAGTCTCTGGCTACCATTAATTTATTTTCTGGTCTCTATAGATTTGCCTGTTCTGGACACTACATATAAATGCAATCATATAATTTTGTCTTCACTGTCTTTTAGAGTCCACTCTCTTCTTCCTCTGGTTCAGCCTTTTGTGCTAGATTATTTCTAAGCTAGACAAGGTGAGGGATGGGAAGAGCTTCTAATGTTATATTAGGAGGTATATGCAAGGTAATCACACTACCTGTTTAAGATCTTTTTTGGTAGGCCTTTCAACCAGCTTTATCATCCTCACCTCAGGAAGTGACTAGGTCCGAGGAGGATGAGGAAGGCACAGGGAGGGAAATAAAACCTTTTTAAAAACTGATTTTTTAAAATTAATAAACCTCATTATTTAGAGCAGTTTTAAGTTCATAGCAAAATTGAATGGAAAGTTCAGAGAGCTCCCATGTACTTCCTGTCCCCCTACACATATAATCTCCCTAATTATAAATATCCCCCACCAGAGTGGTACATTTGTTACAACCCATAAACCTACACTGACATATGTATCAATCAAAGTCTACAGTTTACATTAAGGTTCACTCCTGCTGTTGTACATTCTATGGATTTTGACAAATGTATAATGACATGTATCCACCAATGTAGTATCTTACAGAATGGTTACACTATCCTAAAAATCCTCTGTGTTCTACCAATAAATTCCCCACCCCTCATCCCCAACTCCTAAAAACTACAGATCATTTTACTGTTCCCATAGTATTGTCATTTTCAGAGAGTTACATAGTTGGAATCATACTGTATGTAGCTTTTTTAGAGTGACTTCTTTCATTTAATGATATGCATTTAAGGATCTTCCATGTCTTTTCATGGCTTGATCATTTCTTTTTTAGCATTGAATAATATTCCATTGTCTGGATATACCAGTATATTTATCAATTCGCCTACTGAAGAACATCTTGGTGTCTTCTAAGTTTTGGCAATTATGAATAAAACTGTTATAAGCATCCATATGCAGATTTTTGTATGGACATAAGTTTTCAACTCCTTTGAATAAATACCAAGGAGTGTAATTGCTAGATCATATGGTAAGAGTGTATTTAGTTTTAAAATAAACTGCCAACCTGTCTTCCAAAGTGGCTGTTTCATTTTGCATTCCTACCAGCAATGAATAAGAGCGCTGTTGCTTCATATCCTCACCAGTATTTTGTGTTGTCAGGGTTTTGGATTTTGGCCATTATAATAGGTATGTAGTGATACATTATTGTTGTTTTAATGTGCAATTCCCTAATGAGATATTTTCATATGCTTATTTGCCATCTGTATATTTTCTTTGGTGAGGTATCTGTTCAAATCTTCTGCCCATTTTTAATTGGTTTGTTTGTTTATCGCTGAATATTTAGGAGTTCTTTGTATATTTTGGATAATAACCCTGTATCAGATGTGTTTTTAGAAAAAAGAAAAAAAAGATGTGTCTTTTGCAAATATTTTAACCCAGTCCTGATTTGTCTTATTTTCTAGACATTGTCTTTCACAGGTCAGAAGTCTTAGGTTTTTTTCTTCTCCTCTGTACTTTACTTTTTTTTCCCAGTTTGATTGAGAAATAATTGATATAATCACTGTGTAAGTTTAAGGCATACAGGAAAATGGTTGGCCTTACATATATCATGAAAGGATTACTACAATAGGTTCAGCTATCATTCATCATCTCATATAAACACAAAAAAAGAAAAAAGTAAAAAAAAAAGAGAAAAAATTGTTGCTTGTCATCTGATGAGAACACTTAGCTACTCTCTTAACTTTCCTATATATCGAACAGCATTACTAACTATGGTCATCATGTTGTATATTACATGCCTACGTTTTCTTTAGCTTATAACTGGAAGTTTATAACTTTTGACCACCTTCCTCCAATTTCCCCTTCCCCCATCCTCCACTTCTGGTAATCTAATCTCTCTATACGGTTCTTTTTTCTTTTAGGTTCCACATATAAGTGAGATCATACAGTTTTTGTTTGATTTATTTCACTTAGCATAATGCTAAGTGGACTTCAGGATCCATCCATGTTGCTGCAAATGGTAGGATTTCCTCATTTTTTATGGCTGAATAATACTCCAATGTGTGTGTGTGTGTATGTGTGTGTGTGTGTGTGTATGTGTGTGTATCATCATTTTTGTATCCATTTTGATGGATACATCAATAGACAGTTAGGTTGTTTCCATATCTTGGCCATTGTACATAATACTGCTAGGAACCTGAGGGTGCAGACACCTTTTCAATTTAGTGCTTTCATTTCCTTCTCATTTCCCAGAGGTGGGATTGCTGAATCATATGGTAGTTTTATTTTTAATTTCTTGAGGCTTCTCTATATTGTTTTCTATTGTGGCTACACCAATTTACAATCCCACCATGAGTACACAAAATTTCCCTTTTCTCCACATCCACATCAACATTAATTATTGCTTGCCTTTTTGATAATGGCCATTCTAACAGGTATGAAGTGATATCTCATTGTGGTTGCAATCTGAATTTCCATAATGACTAGTAATGTTGAGCATGTTTGATGTACCTCTTGGCCTTTCATATATCTTCTTTGAAAAAATGTCTATTCAGGTCCTGTACCTATTTTTATTCTATTTTTTTTTTTCTTTTTTAAACGTTTATTTATTTTTGAGACAGAGAGAGACAGAGCATGAATGGGGGAGGGGCAGAGAGAGAGGGAGACACAGAACCGGAAGCAGGCTCCAGGCTCTGAGCCATCAGCCCAGAGTCCAACGCGGGGCTCGAACTCACGGAACGTGAGATCATGACCTGAGCTGAAGTCGGACGCTTAACCGACTGAGCCACCCAGGCGCCCCCTGTACCTATTTTTAAAGTAAGCTATTTGAGGGGATTTTTTTGTTTTTGTTTTTGTTTTTGCCATTGAGTTGTAGGAGTTCTTTATATACTTTGAATAATAACCCCCTATTAGATACAGGATTTTGCAAATATTTTTTTCTTATTCCATATGTTGTCTTTTCACTTTGTTGATGGTTTATTTTGCTGTACTGAAGCTTTTTTAGTTTGATGTAGTCCCACTCATTTATTATTTTTTTTTATTTAGTTGATTGTGATTTAGGCGTCATATCCATCAGGGAAATGTAAATCAAAACTACACTGAGATATCACCTCACACCTGTCAGAATGGGTAAAATCAACAATATAAGAAACAACATGTATTGGTAAGGATGTGGAGAAAAAGGAACTCTCATGCAGTGTTGGTGGGAATGCAAACTGGTGCAGCCACTCTGGAAAACAGTATAGAGGTTCTTCAAAAAGTTAAAAATAGAACTACCTTATGATCCAGTAATCTCCCTACTGGTATTTACCCAAGTATACAAAAACACTGATTCAAAGGGATACATGCACTCCTATCTTTATAGCAGCATGACTTGTAAGAGCCAAATTATGGAAGGAATCTAAGTGTCCATCAGTAGATGAATGAATAAAAAAGATGTGGTATATATATATATGCATATATGCCTATGCATATATATATATACATATATACGTATGCATATATATACATATATACACATATATATATATATGCCCACCCACATTATATACCCACATATACACATATGCACAATGGGATATTATTTAGCCATAAAAAAGAATGAAATACACCATTTGCAATGACATCAATGGAGTGAGAGTATAATGCTAAGTGAAATAAGTCAGAGAAAGACAACACCATATGATTTCACTTATATGTGGAATTTGAGAAACAAAACAAATGAGCAAAGAAAAAAAAAGAGAGAGAGAAACCAATAAACAGACTCTTAACTATAAAGAACAAACTCATAGTTACCAGAGGGGGGGTAAAGGGGATGGGTGAAATAGGTGATGGGGATTAAGAAGTGCACTTGCTGTGATGAGCACTGGGTGATGTATGGGACTGGTGAATTGCTATTTATGCACCTGAAAATAATATAACACTGTATTTTAACTATACTGGAATTTTAAATTAAATTAAATTCAAAAACAAAATATCATTACCAAGATCCAGGTCAAGAAGTTTTATTCCTATGTTTTCTTCTAGGACTTTCATAGTTTCAGGTATTATATTTAAGTTCTTAATCCATTTCAAGATAACTTTTGTGAGTAGCGTTAAGATTGGGGTCCAGTTTCATTCTTTTGAATATCCAATTATCCCTGCACTATTTATTGAAGAGACTGTCTTTTCGCCATCGAGTATTCTTGGTTCCCATGTCAAATATTAGTTGACTATATATGCTCGGGTTTATTTCTGGGTTTTTTATTCTATTCCACTGGTCTATGTGTCTGTTTATATGCCAGTATAATTGTTTTGTTGTTGTTGTTGTTGTTGTTGTTGTTATATTATAGCTTTATAGTATAGCTTGAAATAAAAAGTGTTATGCCTCCTGCATTGTTCTTTCTCAGGATTTCTTTGGCTATTTGGTATCTATAAGTTCCATAAAAATTTTAGTGTGAATTTCCTCTACTTCTGTAAAAAATGCCACTGGAATCCTAACAGAGATTTCATTGAATCTACAAATGGCTTTGGTCAGTATTAACATTTTAACAATATTAATTAATATCAATTCTTCCAATCCATGAACATGAGATACCTTTCCATTTATTTGTGTTCTTTGATTTCTTTAATAAGTGTCTTATAGTTTTCAGAGTAGAGAACTGTCACCTCCTTGATTATTTTTTTTCCTGATTTTTTAACTGTTTTTGATGGCTAGTGTAAAAAGGATCAATTTAATTCTTTTTTAGATTTTTGTATGTTATTTTTTATCTTGCAACTTTAATGAATTCATTGATTAAATCTAATGGTTGAGGCTTTAGGATTTTCTATACGCAGTATGTCATCTGCAAATAAAGGTAATTTTACTTCTTCCTTTCCCATTATGATTGTTTTATTTATTTTTCTTGCCTGATTGCTCTAGCTAGGAATGCCAGTACTATTTTGACTAGAAATGGTGACAGTGAGCATCCTTGTCTTGTTCCTGATCTCAGAGGAAAAGCTTTTAAACTTTCACCATTGAATATGATGTTAGTTGTGGTCTTGTCATATATGGACTTTACTATGCTGAGATATGTTCCTTCTATGTGTAATTTGTTAAGAGTTTTTATCATGAATGTAGGTTAAATTTTCTAAAAATGCTTTTTCTGAATCCATTGAGATGATCATACTTAGGGGTTTTTTTTTCTTCTTCAATTAATGTGATGTATCACATGAATTGATTTGTGTATGTTGAACCATCCTTACATCCCAGGAAATAATCCTATTTGATTATGGTGAATGAACCTTTTTTGAAGTGCTTCTGAATTTGGTTTGCTAGTATTTTATTGGGAGTTTTTTCATCTATATTCATCAGGGATACCTTTTCTGGCTTTGGATAACGCTGGCCTCTTAAAATAAATTTGGGAATGTTCCCTCCTTTTTGATTTATTTTTTTCTGAAGATTTTGACAAAGACTGGTGTTAATTCTTCTTTAATTGTTTGGTAAAATTCACCAGTGAAGCTTTGAATTCCTGGCCTTTTCTTTGTTGGGAAATTTTTGATTAGCAATTTGATAACCTTACTACTAACTGATCTATTCAGATTTTCTACTTTTTCCCAGTTCAGTCTTGGTAAGTTATATATTTCTAAGAATTTTTCATTTCTCCTAGGTGTCTAATATGTTGGTATACAGTTGTTCATAGTGCATTTTTATGATTCTTTGTATTTCCGGGGTATCGGCTGTAATGTCTCCTTTTTCATTTATAATTTTGTTGATTTGGATCCTGTTTTTTCATTAGTCTAGGTAAGGATTTTTCAGTTTTGTTCATCTTTTCAAAAAACAACTCTTAGTTTGGTTAATCTTTTCTATTGATTTTCTGTTCTTGACTTCACTTATTTCTGTGCTAATCTTTACTATTTCCTTTCTCCTACTAACTTCAGGCTCAGCCTTTTCTTCTTTTTTTAGTTCCTTAAGGCATAGAGCTAGGTTGCTTATTTGAAATTTTTATTGCTTCTTAATATAGATGTTTATTGTTATGACCTTCTCTCTTTAAAATACCTTTGGTGCATCCCATGAGTTCTGGTATATTATGTTTCCATTTTCATTTGTTTCTAGAAACTTGTTTATCCCTCTTTAATTTCTTTGATCCATTGGTTTTTAAGGGGAGTGTTTAATTCCCATGTATTTATGAATTGTCCAGTTTTCTTCCTGTTACCAATTTATAGTTTTATGCTATTATGGTCAGAGAGGATATTTGGTATGATTTCAATGTTCTTGAATTTTCTAAGACATGTCTTCTGGTCTAATATATGGTTATCTTAGAAATTTTTCCATGTACACTTGAGAAGAAGGCATATTCCACTGCTGTTAGGTAGAATATTATGTATGTCTGTTAAATCCACTTGGTCAATAATTTGTTCAAATCTGCTCTTTCTTCATTGATTCTGTCTGGATGGTCTATACATTGTATAGTGTGAAGAATTAAAGTACTCTACTATTATCATTTCTCTTTTTGGTTAGTTTTGCTTTATATACTTAGGTGTTCAGGTTTTGGGCACATATATATTTACAATTGTTATATCCTCTTGATGAACTGACCACTTTATTATCATGTAATGATCTTGGCTCTCTTTACTATTTTTAGTTTAAAATCTATTTTATCTGATGTAACTACCCCTGCCTTTTTTTTTGTTTTGTTTTGTTTTGTTTTTTTGTTTTTTTGGTTACCATTTGCTTGAACAACTTTTCTCATTCCTTCACTCTGAGTCTATGTCTGTATTTAAGGCTAAAGTGAAGCAACACCCAGGGTCCCAAGAATAAGAACAGGATGCAATGACAGCTGGCACCACTGAAAGCTGTCACATACCAACCTTCCCTCCAACTGCAAACAATACCAACCACCTCACCTGCAGGGCCCTCATTTCCTTCCAAAGAGAAAAATACAGGAGACACAAGATCACCACTCTCTCAAGAAAGCTCACACCTTTTGGAGAAATAATGGATCCACTATGGCTACAAATGTGCCACAGGCCAGAATTCTAGACAAGATATTGCATGCTCCCACTATGATTTGATGAGAACAGTCATCCCTGTGGTCTTCTACCTGAAAGCCCAGAACCTTATCTTACATCAAATAGACCTTGAATGAGGCTCACTGACAAACTCTGACAGCCCTGAGCAGGTTCAGAACTGCGACATGTAAGGTAGGCCTGGTTGGACCAGACCTAAGAAGGATGCCTGGGAGATAAAGCCTTGCATCAGGCAATAAACCAATGCTGCTTCCATGGTTTGGACAAAAGTACTGTGGAAACCTGAGATGCTGGCATCAGCAGGAACTGAGCAAGGAGTACAGGAGCCCTCTGCACCATCTCTGCAACTTCTCTGTAAACCTAGAATCACTTAAAAGTAAAAAAAAATATATTAAAAAATAATAATGAAAATAAAGTGAATCTCTTGTAAGTAGTATTTCATTGGGTCTTGTTTTTTGTCCATTCACCCATTCTATGTCTTTTGATTAGAGAATTTAATCTATTTACATTTAAAATAATTATTGACAGGTAAGGACTACTACTGCCATTTTGTTAATTGTTTGCTGGTTGTTTTGTATATCCATTGTTCAATGTTCCTTATCCTGCTATCTTTGTTCATGTTTTGATGTCCTTTGGTATCCATATGCTTTGATTTCTTCTCCTTCTCTTTCTCCATCTTTTTCTTCCTTCTTTTTAAAAATCTATCATTGTTATAGGTTTTTCCCTTGTGATGACCATGAGGCTTACATAAAATATCTTAAAATTATAATACTTCATTGCATACTTTATACTTTTACTTCTCCCTCTCACATTTTAGGCTATTACTGTTACAACTTACATATTTTCGTAGTGTATAATTAATAAAGGATTATTCCAGTTATGGACATTTTTATTATATTTATTTTCTTAACTTTAAACCATTGTTGTAAGTAAATTACATACCACAATTACAAATTACAGAATCTACCCTTGACTATATATTCCATAACCAGTGACCTTTACACTAATTTTTTACGTTTTTATGATGTTAGCTAGGCTCTTTTTACTTCCATTCAAAGAACTCCCTTTAGCATCTCTTGTATGGCAGGTCTAGTGGTAATGAACTCCGTCAGCTTTTGGTTTTCTGGGAAAGTCTTTATCCCTCCTTCATTTCTGTAGAATAGCTTCACTGGGTATAGTATTCTTGGTTGACAGGGTTTTTTTTTTTTCTTTTAACATTTTGAATATGTCATCCCATTCTCTCCTGGCCTCAAATATTTCTGTAGAAAAATTTACTAATAGCTTTATGGGGATTCCCTTGTAGATACTTCTCCTTGCTATTGATGCTTTAAAATTTTTTTGTTGTTGTTGTTCTGGATCAAACATTTTTATTTATTTGTCTGACAAACACAAAAGCTGATTTCTATCTATAATTATTTTTTTAAGATAAGAAACAGTGAGTCGACTGAAGAAACAACTGTGGCCTAACTGTGAAGACTATGGCGCTCACCATGAGGCTGTAGGGAGAAATGGTAATGACATTAGCAGGCTTTCTCCAAGAAGGCTCTGCAGCACCTCACACACTACTAGTAGATAGTCTCAAGGTCAGACTCATTCCCATAATAAATAATAAATTGTTTCAATAATAAATTGTTTTTGTGGATAACTCTCAAGTAGTTCAATTTTAGATTTGCATTTCTTTTCCTATTCAAGTATCTCAGATTGCTTTCATCCATATGTAGTATATAATCAGATGTAGCAAAGTCTTCTTTGGTAACCTGCCAGGCAATGTTAACCCCACAGACTGATGGGAATAATATGCTTTTTTATTTAATTGTGCCCTCCATAATTGGGAAGGTTTGCTATTTCATATGTAGATGTCACTACATTTTCTATCCTCCAATTATTTGAAAGCTTTTGATCAGTTACAAGTTTGCTGAAAACTTATTCTGCAATGGGTGACTGACATGTTACCCAGACACAAAAAGCATAGACTTGGATACCTGCTCAGCCATCTTCCCATGCACCAGTATTATATTTTTCAGCTCTAGAATGTTTTTTTTTCTTTTTCTTTCTTTCTTTCTTTCTTTCTTTCTTTCTTTCTTTCTTTCTTTCTCTTCCTTTCTTTTTTTCTTTTCTTTCTTTCTTTCTTTCTTTCTTTCTTTCTTTCTTTCTTTTTTTTCTTGCTTTCCTTCTTTCTTTCAATTCTATTGCTTAGTCAAACTTTTCATTTTGTTCATGCTTTGTTTTCCTAATTTTGTTTAGTTGTCTGTGTGTTCTTGGAATTCACTAGACTTCTTTAAGAAAAGTATTCGGAATTCTTTGTCTTATAGTCCATATATCTCCATTTCTTTAAAATCATCTATTAGAGCTTTATTAGTTTCTTTTGTTGGTATCATATTTACCTACTTTTTGTGATCCTTGATTCCTTATGTTGCTATCTGTGTATTTAAGTAATCAGGTTCCTCTTCCAGACTTTATAGGTTTGTTTTGGCAGAGACAGGTCTCCAAACAGTCAAATTCAAACAGTCAACAGTTTGAGTTTCTGGACATGTATACTGGTAATGTTCTTGGGTAGGTGGGGCCTGCGATTATGATTTATTTTGGGGTGAGGCAACTGTGCAAGTTCTGAGGCCAGGGATGGAGATGGTGGTGCCACTGGGTGAGAACAGTTGAATAGGGCTGCTTTTTTGGTTCACTACCCAAGTGAGGCTGTAGGATGGGTTCCATGACTGTCTAGATTCTCTGTTCACACTTACTAGATGGTTAGGTTTGGGTACTATATTCATTAATAGATGAGGCTATGAATTATCTTTCCTTCCCTGACTGGTCAGCAGTATGGGACTTAGGGCTTGTACAGCTCATTGTTTGGGGACCCAAATCAGGCTAAAGTGTGCACTAAATTTGCTTGTCAGCTGAGGCCACCAATTCTTCTTTGCAGACAGGGAAAGTCACAGATGGCTCTCTGTTCAAGTGTCACTGTAAGCAGGGCTATTGGATAGACTCTACAGCTTACCTAATGTGCTCTGGTTGGGTTCCTTGGTTAGGCAGCCTTGAGGCTATATGCAGCGATAAGTGGGGCTACAATTTAGTTTCTCTATATGGGCATAGTGGGAGAAGCAGCTGTAAAACTGGCAAAGCTCTTTGTTGTCTTAACTCAAGCCAACCTGTGCCCCAAATTCCCTGGCTGGAAAGGGCCACTGGCTTTGCTCTGAAAAGTATTGGTTCTGCCTACCTGTGTCTCAGCTTAAGCACTACTGCAGCACACAGCTCCCAGGCATCCTTGCCAGCTCTTCTGGTCAGGTGGGACAGGGAGCCACAGCAGGTAGGCCTATGTTCCAGCTCCCTTGTCTGGAACAAGGAAAGGGGAAGGGTCACTCCAGGCAACTCTCAATTTCCCAGACTATCTAGCTGGGAGGGGTTGGGAGCTACCCTCAGCTTTGGCTATGAATTAATCCTTCTGCCTATGTATAGCACAGAAACTTTCCTGTGCCTGGTACTGGCTTTGCTCTGGAGGTGATAAGCTCTATCTACCCACCTCTCAGTTTGAGCACTACTGTTCTACACAGCTTGTATGTGTTCCTCTGGCCAGTAGATGTGACCAGGAGATACTCACCATAGTGGGCAGGGCCATTATTCAGCTCCTTGCCTGAGCACGGGCAAACAAGGCTCTAGGGCTAGCAATACCCTTCATTTAAAAATTCAAATCAGGCAGATCTGCACCCCAATGAGTTCCCTAGTCAGACTGCATTACCAATATGTTTCTTCAGATGAGCAAAACCATTGGTTGGGATTACTACTTTATCATTGCAGGTATAAACTTGATCTGCCAAGATCCATGTGCTTGTTGTTATAAGATCCTCCCTGCTTCTCCATCATAAGTCAGATTCCCAGTGGTCAAGACCCCAAGGTTCCCCTGAAATCCCCATGGAGTGAGATAAGAGTAGAGGTTCCCACAAAGCAACCCCAATGGTCAGTGGGGAAGACTGGTTGTCTTCCCCTGGGTTCTCTTTCTGTCTTACTGGAGGACCTAATGGCTCAAGGAAAACCCCTCCATATAGTGTTGCACTGGCCTGAGGGAAGTGAAAAAAAGTCATTAGGTAGTCACTTCTCTTACCCTTCTAATGCAATCTGTCTTGTCTCTGTGGTGTAGGGAGTGATTTAGACTCACCCTCATGTTCTAGAATTCTTTCAGTGAAGTTCTCATCTTGAATAGTTGCTAGCTCTCCTTCTTGTGATGGGGAGCAAAGTCAGGAATGATCTACGTTACCATCTTGGTGAAGTCTAGTTTTAATGAAGTCCAGCTTATCAAATGCCTCTTTCATGAACAATACCTTTGTTGTTGTATCTAAAAGTAGTCACCATATCCAAGATCACCCAGATTTCTCCTGTTACTTCCTATGAGTTTTATAGCCTTTTTTTTTTTTGTATTTGGAACTCTGATTCATTTTGAATTAACTTTTGTAAGGAATGGTCTATGTCTAGATTTATATTTTTGCATGTGGTATCCATTTTTTCCAGCACCATTTCCTCAAAAGACTATCTTTGCTTCATTTTATTGTCTTTGCTCTTGTGTTAAAGATAAGTTGACTATACTTATGCTGGTCTATTTCTGAATTCTCTATTCTGTTCCAATGAACTACTTTTCTATTCTTTCAGCAATACCACAGTTTTTTGAATACTGTAGCTTTATAGTAAGTTTTGAAGCTGGGTAGTATAGTTCTCTGAATTTGTTCTTGTCCCTCAATATTGAGTTAACTATTGTGGGTCTTTTGCGTCTCCATGTAAACTTTAGAATCAATTTGTTGATGTCCACAAGGTAAGTTGCCAAGATTTTGATTGGGATTGCATTGATTCTCTATAGATAAAGTGGGAAGAACTAATATCTTGACAATATTGAGACTTTCTATCCATGAACATGGAATGTGTATGTATGTATGCATGTATTTAATATCTTTCATCAGAGATTTGTAGTTCTCTTTACATAGATCTTGTGCATATTTTGTTAAATTTACACCTACATATTTAAATTTGGGGGGTACTAATGTAAATGGTAATATGTGTTTAATTTTAAATTTACTTATTAAATGCTGGTATATAAGAAATTGATTGACTTTAACTTAGTCCCCATTAAAGTGTGTACTGAGGGCTCTGCAACTGTACTAGTTACAGGGCATGTATAATAATAACTAGTTATAGTTATCAACCTCAAGGAGTTAGGGGGAGGCAAAAGAGAAGGAAACATGTAATCACATTTTTAGAAAAGAAAAAGCTATCCCAGTCTGAGAAAAAAAAAAAAAAAACAACATGTTTTGAGTGATATAATTTATTATGTTCTTTTGGGAGAAAGCGTTACTCCTAATTAATTTTTAAACAATTTCTCTACAGATTTTAATAGATGAAAATTTGCTCTGGGGAATCAAGTGACTGGTTACCCTGATGACTGCCAATCAAGAA